TGTGGAGGAAGATTTTTTCCCTCCTATGTACTTATAATTTCAACCCTGTTCTGTTTACCTCTTTTTCCTCTCATAAACCTCATTTCCAGCTCTGACCTCTAGAGCTCCAGATGCATTTATCTAGTTGCCTACTTGACCATGCCATTTCGATAACTAAGAAATGTTCTGATTCTAACATGGTTCAAGCAGCATTTCTAGTCCAACTTCTTCTACTCAAATTGCTTTTCTTATGGTCTTTCCATTTCTCAGAAATAGCATCACTCATATAGTTGCACCATTCAAGCCAAAATTGCCTTTTTTACATCTCTTGCCCTTGCCCTCCTATCTAGTCGATCAGCAGCAAATACTGCCAACTCTTAACTACAGATCTGTATTTGGAATGCCTTCCTGCTGTTCTCCTCTCCAAATGTACGCCACCGTCTCTGACCTTTTGCAGTCGTCTCCAGGGCGCCTTTCCCAGTTTCTGACCTTGTCCACTTCCATGGACTGTTTCATGTACAGCAACCAGAGTGATCATTCTAAGACCTGAGTCTTATTATTCCATTGTTAAAAATCCTTTAAGAGTTCTTTTATTCTAACTTAAATAACTCTAGTTCTACCCTGCCCTATTAAGGTTGCTATGAGTCAGAATTGAATCAATGGTAGTGGGAGGTTACTTGTCCTTGCCTCTTAAGTTTTTTGGACCATCTTTTATCACTCTCTCTTATCTTACCTACTATGTTCAATTCTTTTGATTCCTCAAACAGGAAGCTTATTCTTGGTTTAGAGACTTTGCACTAGCTGTTCAATCCAGTGAAATGTGTTTTTTTTTTTGATTTGTGCCTCTTTCTTTGTCACTACATCTGCATAAATGCCACGTTTTTCAAGTCTTTAATCATCAATGTACAGTAGTCATCCAAGGATATCTGTTGCCACCATTTAATTATCTGCCCAACACTGCTCACTTTCTATTTTTTTGCCCCCCAGCCCCTGTGTCCACCAAACTAGAATTAGGCTTCATGAGAGTGGAGATGGTTTGATCATTGCTAGGTTAGTGCCGGCATATTAGATCAATTCTAACTCATAGCAACCCTATAGGACAAAAGATAATTACCCCAAACGATTTCCAAGGCTACAATTTTTTATGAAAGCAGACCACCATCAATGTCTCCCATGGAGCATCTGGTGGATTCAAACTACAAATATTTTAGTTAGCAGGTGAGTGCTTAACCATAGTACCACTTAGGGCTCCCCTTTGGATGCCTAATTAGTGTTTCTACCACTTTTCAGTTTGTTGTACTCTGGTAGCTTGTGTGTTCCTGTGATCCTAGAAGTTATGTCACTCATATTTCAAATACCAGCAAGGGCACCCAAAGTGAACAGTTTTCAACAGAGCTTCCAGAGTACAAAGATGGAATGAACTGTCCACTTCTGAGGAATTAGCCATTGCAGACCATATGGATAGAACATGGTCGGATACTGAACATCTAGTGAATAGAAGCAGAGCATTGTTAGAGATAGTGACAGAAGATGACCCGAGCCCCTCAGGTCAGAAGGCACTTAAAAGGTAGCAAGAGCTACCTTCTGAGTCAACCATAATGATCTGGGTGGAGTAAAGTCTGTGGTAGTGAAGCCGGTGGGGTCTTAATTTACTGTTGTGGCACGACTTACAATGAGAAGAAACAGCTCCAAATATCAATTAATAATTGGAACTTGGCATTTATGAAGTATGAATCTAGGAAAATTGGAAGTCGTTAGAAATTAAATGGAGCACATAAAGATTGATATTCTAGGCATTAGTGAGCTGAAGTGGACTTGGCCGATCTGAATCAGAAACTCATATGGTTTACTGTGATGGGAATGACAGATTCAAGAGGGAATGGTATTGCATTCATTGTCAAAACAAACATTTCAAGATCTGTCTTGAAGTAGAGTGCTGTCTGCGATAGGGTAATGCCTATCTGCATTCAAGGGAATCCAGTCAATATAGCTATTCTTAAAATTTATGTACCAACCACGAAAGCTACTGATGAAGAAATTGAAGAATTATATTAACGCCTTCAGTCTAAAATTGATCAAACATGCAACCAAGATGCATCAATATATTATTTGTGATTGGAATACAAAAGTTGGAAACAAAGTAAGGAACAGTAGTTGGAAAATATGGTCTTGGTGATAGAAACGAATCTGGAGATCAGATGATAGAATTTTGCAAGACCAATGACTTCTTCATTCCAAATGCCGTTTTCAGCAACACAGAAAAGGTGACTATACATGTGAACTTCTCCAGAAATCAAATCAACTAGCATCTTTGGGAAGAGA